CCAAGACGCTTTTGTCCGTGGGGCAACGGTACATGAGGGCCCCGTGATCCTGCAGGACCCCCAGAAGCAGTTCTGGAATCAGCCCTCCTCAGACACCAAAGTCCAGCAATGAGGATGCAACTGAGGCAGCTGAAAGCCCCAGTACAGGAGACCCTCCCGGAAGGAAAGAACAGAATGGAACAGGGACGGGGCTGGCCATGCCTCATCCCTCCCGCTCCACAAGGCTGATCAATTCCCTGGTGGCCACTCAGGGATCACCAGATGAGCTTTGTCCCCCACTGCGCTGCCTGTGGCTGCCCGGTTCCTGCACGCACCTGCCATCTTTTTCAGGTGGTTGGCAGATCTAACGAGTTCCAATTTAAGTCCCGGCTGCTCCACTTCTTGTGGAGCTCCCTGCTTGTGGCCTGAGAAGGCAGCAGAGGGTGGCTGAGACCCTTGGGACCCTACACCCTGCGTGGGAGACCCAGAGGACCTTCCTGGCTTCAGAGGAACAGCTCCAACTGTTGCAGCCATTTGGAGAGTAAACCAGCAGATGGAAGATCTCTCTCCTCTCTGTAACTCTGCCTTTCAAATAAAAATAAATCTTAAGACAGAGCGAGTGTTGAGGGTGCTGGAACAATTAACCAGCAATGTTTGGGAGGCGACCAGAAGCCTCCCTCCTGGGAGTCCTTGCTGAAGAGGTGTCTGTCCTACCACAACACACGTGCACTGGATCCCAAGTCACCAAAACACTGGCTTCACGCTGGGGAGGAGACCGCCCAAGAGAGGCTTCAGTCACCAAGAACAGCGGGGCATGAGTGCTGCGGGGTCCGTGACGCAGCCCAGCAGCACATGGTGGGTATGCGAGCCGGGGGGCCTCCTAAGGGGGATGTGAGTGGTCCTCGGGCCAGGCATAAGCATCACGTTGTCTGCATGATGCATGATGAGGCCACACAGGTAAGAGATGAGAAGTCAGAGGAAGAAAGGGAGGAAGGCAGTCGGGGGTGGAGAGGAAGCGCCCACTTTCTGCACGTGTCTACCTGTCCCGTGTTCTGTTCTGCAGTGAGAGCATTCATGTGAAAGTTACACAGGGGAGAGAATGAAAGACAACCTAGGGCCCAGGGTGGGAATGGGAAGGGAGGGGACTGGCTCAGAGGGCAGGGCAGGGCAGGGGAGAGGAGGTGAGGGGAGGGAGAGGCTCAGAGGGCAGGGCAGGGCAGGGGAGAGGAGGGGAGGGGAGGGAGGGGACTGGCTCAGAGGGCAGGGCAGGGGAGAGGAGGGGAGGGGAGGGAGGGGCTCAGAGGGCAGGGGAGAGGAGGGGAGGTGAGGAAGGGGCTCAGAGGGCAGGGCAGGGGAGAGGAGGGGAGGTGAGGGAGGGGTTCAGAGGGCAGGGCAGGGGAGAGGAGGGGGAGGGAGGGGCTCAGAGGGCAGGGGAGAGGAGGGGAGGGAAGGGAGGGGCTCAGAGGGCAGGGCAGGAGGGGAGCAGTCCCAGGTTTTCGTCTGACCCAGCTGCCTTCAACTTCAGTTGGAGCTGGGAGCCACCCTGGGTTGGGAGCCTGGCTGCTGTGTTGCAAACGGACCACACGGTGGCAACATGGAGCCGGGAGAGCTGGCTGGAAGGCAGGAGGAACAGGGTGTAAGGCGGCCAGCACTGGCCAAGCGACCAGAGCATTGGCATCTGACGCCCGATGGTCGTGATGGGCAGTGTTTGCTTGCCATCGTCACCGACAGGTCTACAATTCCACTCACAGCCAGCCTGCGGTGCCCAGACCACTGTTCTAAGCTGTGCCTAGATTCACCCTGGAATGATCCCCAACCCCAGGTGCAGAATGACGTCTGGGAAGAGCAGGCAGTGTGGGCTCATCAGCGGTTCTTGGCCAGACTGCCCAGCGGGCCCCAAGGGGAGGGTCCATGCACGCTCCCCAGCCCGGGCATGCGGGCTCCTTCTGTCTCCCTGAGCTGGACAAAGTGGCTCTGCAACTGGACGAGGGGGTGTGTGTCTGTGTATTGATGCTGGTTGCCGCACGAGTCAAGGCCGCAAGGAGAGATCATGTGATCCCAAGGGGAAGTCGCTCAGGGCTGCAGCTTCCTCAGGGACCCACGGCCACGGCGACGGAGGTTATGGCCATTCGGCACGTTGCTTCATTTCTACCTTTTTCCTGTTACAAATTATGATCTTGGGAAGCCACACAGGCGTGTAAGGAAAGGACCGAATGCTGAGCAGCCAGACACTGCGATGACCTTCCAGACAAGAAGCTGGAAGGCCTGGCTGCTCCCGCGGAGCCTTGGCCGGCCCGGAGCCTCTGGGGAGAAGCACGCTGACGTCACACATAGATTCATACTCAGAGGAGCATTCCAGAAGACACTGCATCACAAGAATAACAACAGTGTAACGAAAATTACCCACTTACAAACAACTTCTAAAATGTTACAGATTCAATGGAATGTTTTAGAAAATAATAAAAAATTGGAAGCCACAAAACCAAAAAAAAAAAATGGGTCAACAGTTGGGCAACATGCTAACAGGGATCTCATGTCCCCCGTGGGAGACCCTAGGCCCACGTCCCAGGGCTCATGTCCCCCGTGGGAGACCCTAGGCCCACGTCCCGGGGCTCATGTCCCCCGTGGGAGACCCTGGCCCATGTCCCGGGGCTCATGTCCCCCGTGGGAGACCCCGATCCACGTCCCGGGGCTCATGTCCCCCGTGGGAGACCCTGGCCCATGTCCCGGGGCTCATGTCCCCCGTGGGAGACCCTGATCCACGTCCCGGGGCTCATGTCCCCCGTGGGAGACCCTAGGCCCATGTTCCAGGACTCATGTCCCCCGTGGGAGACCCTGGCCCACATCCCGGGGCTCATGTCCCCCGTGGGAGACCCTAGGCCTGCATCCTCCTTCCACTCGCACTCCCAGCCCCTGCGGATGTCGCCTTGGTGACCCTGCGATGGCTGAGCAGCTGATGGAAGAAAATCAGATCATCAAAACTGTATCATAGAAGTCCAAGCCGAGAGCTGCAGTGTTGCCGTAGGAAAGCAGAAATGGATAAAGAAATTTATTAAAGAAATGACTGAAGGAATATTCTAGAGTGTAAGCATAACCATCCCTTCCTGTGAAGGTTTCCACTGTGTGAAAGCTCATGGTGAACAGCGTATGCCGTTGTCACGGCCGCAGGAAGGTGCCGGTGTGTGGGGAAGCGACTGCCTGTGGCGTCCCATCCCATGTGGAGGCCAGCTGAGTCCGTGCCGCTCCATGTCTCATCCAGCTCTCTGCTGAAGTGCCTAGGAAGGCAGCAGAGGATGGCCCAGGTGCTTGGGGTCCCTTGTACCCACGTGGGAAGCCCACATGGAGCTCCTGGCTCCTGACTTCAGCCACCTAGGAAGTGAATCAGCAGGTGGAAAATCCACCTCTCTTTAAGTTAAGAAAACTACATTAGACAGCCAACACATCCGATGAAATATGTCCAACATACGGATGCAGAAAAGCAGAATCTAATATTTTGAGACACTAAAGGAGACCCTCACCAAGGCGAGTTCTGTGTTTACAGGGTAGAAACCTCAGTTGAAACAAGGTGTGACTTCATGGTACCCACCTGCCAGCGTGGTCCTACAGTGTGCAAAGAGGAGCCGGATCCACCTGCCAGCATGGTCCTGCAGTGTGCAGGGGGCAGCCAGCACCTGCCAGCGTGGTCCTGCAGTGTGCAGGGGACAGCCGGGATCCACCTGCCAGCATGGTCCTGCAGTGTGCAGGGGGCAGCCGGGACCTACCTGCCAGCATGGTCCTGCAGTGTGCAGGGGGCAGCCGGGACCTACCTGCCAGCATGGTCCTGCAGTGTGCCTGATAGAGCTGGGACCACCTGCCAGCGTGCATATAGGGTGCCTGAGGTCCTTGGGTGGGGAATATTCTCGATGGCACGTCAGCACTGCCTAATGACGAATTCTGGGCAGGTCTGTCCCAGCAGCACAAGCAGGCCAATGCGTATGAACGCCACATCCATGGCCAAGGCGAGTGTCTCCAAGAACACTGCCCTGCGCCAATGTGCTGAAGACAGACTCCATCAGGACACACCACTCACGTCCCACCCCAGGACACTCAGCCCAGGCACCCAGCGCAGGCACCCAGCCCAGGCACCCAGCCCAGGCACCCAGCGCAGGCACCCAGCACAGGCACCCAGCCCAGGCACCCAGACCAGGACTCAGCGCAGACTACAGACCAAAACAAGGGGCGGAGTATAACGGGTCTCACGAACATGGCGGCCTGTCACCTCCCTGGGCACACATAGTTTCTGAGTGGAAGAAGCCTGCTCTCCAAAGACACCCCCAGGGGCACAGGGAAGGAGCCAGCGCCGGGAAAGCCGGGACCCCCCCACTGTCACTGCCCCAAACACAGAAACCAACTCGGGTGGGCAGGAGCAAGGCGCAATGTGACCTTGATGCGAGGCTACGACGGGACCACTCAGACTTGCCTCCCTTGAAGGTCACAGCCAAGGAAGCGGGCAGCCAGATGGAATGCCACTGTCCTCCAACAGATTCATTCATTAGGTTCTAACGCCTTCAGGATCCCTGAAAAAGTCACTTTTTCCAAAGTTTGGAAGGTGCCCAGGAGCTTCCAACCCGCGGGTGAACCTCAGGGCGCGGCAAGGGTTTCAGGTCTATTGGGAGCTCCTCCCCGGGACACAGTCACAGAAATTCTCCCTTGGAAACGGAAGCCAGGGCTCCCGCCTCCTCTGCTCCCTCTGCGACTCGCCCCTTGTCCAGCCGTCACACAGCCACGCGACCCCGGTCAGCGCGGGTCCCTGGGTCCCAGCCAGGCCCGACCCAGGGAGGACGCCCCGCCGGGCCACGGGGCGGGTCTGGGCGGCCGCGGACCTCGAGGCGTGCGCAGTCACCGCCCTCCGCGGCCCCGTAGGTCCCACCCCGCCGCGGCGACCAGCGGAGCCCAGCACCGGCCGAGCAGGCGCAGGAGGGCGCGCGGGCTCGGTCCGCGGGGCAGCTGCTCCGAGGCTCCGCGGCGCCGCTGGGCGAGCGATGTGGGCGCCGGGCTGCCCCCCGGGGCCCGCGGGCTGGGATCGCCGCCGGGTGGGCGCGCGGCTGCGCGCGGCGCTCGCGGGGCTGCACGAGCTGCAGGGGCTGCGCGCCACGCAGCAGGCGCGGGTGCGGGACGCCCTGGCCATGCAGCCCGCGGCCCCCGGCGGCCCCCGCGGCCCCGAGCTGCGGCTGGAGGCGGCGCTGGCCGCGCTGCAGGAGCAGCTGGTGAGCGCGCGGGGGGACGCGGGGCTGGAGGCTGCTGCTCCTGCGAGGCGGTGCGGGCGCGGGCAGGGGCGGCCGTTGGCGTGCAAGTGGGGCGCGGTTTGGGGCTGAACAAGAGGCAGTGGGGTTACTGCTGTGTGGGGCGCTCCGCTGAGCGGGGGGTCGCAGACGCCCTCCTGTGCCTGGCTGCGTGGGGTTGAGGGCGCCTTTCCGCGTGGGGAGCCACGCGTGGCCTCTGGATTCCCCTGCCAGGCTGCGGGGCTGCGGGGCTGGAGCACCCCAAGTTACCGTCAGTAAGGCGGCGTTCAGTGGGGCCGAGCGCCCAGGGCTGAGTGTTCCAGAGGTCCCCCGGCACTGGCGTGGGGGCTTCTTGGGCAGGACCCGGTTTCCCCGCGCGCGGGGCCTCGGGCGGTGAGGATAAGGGGCGACCTTTTAATCTGCCAGGTCCCAGGAGATGCCATGAGAGAAGCTATGTGAGAGAAGCTAGGACGCAGGGGGAGGGGGAGGGCTGATGGGGTTACCTGGCTCGCTCCAGGTGGTGGCCATTCCTGAGCAACTATGGACAGGGTCTCTGCCAAGCGCTGGGCTTGGGAGGGCTCTGGGCTGTGGGCAGCAGGGAAGGAGCCAGCAGCAGCCCTGCACCTGTAGGTGGATCAGCCGTGCTCGGAACAGCGCATGGGGGAGGAATGTGTCTGCGAGTGAGGGTTGCGTGTGTGATGGGGAGCAGCCCACAGGCCCTTAGCTTGTGTGTGGCCCCAGCCAGGCATGGGCAGACTCCAGGTGCGTGACACGCATGACTTGCTCTGTCCGGGGCAGGGCCTGGGTTCCGACTAACTCGGCCTGGGACGCCTGAGTGTGCAGCCTTCAATTACGGGTCGCCTTTCGGGCAGAGATCAAACAGTTTTTGTTTAACTTTTTGTGTGTGTTTTAATGTGGGAACCAGAAGGAACATGCAGACTTTTGAATCTTTGTTCTTGGGAGTTGTGATCAAAAGAGAGGAGTGATTGAACATCAGCCGGCACCCAGAGCCTCACGTTGTCCTCTCCGGAACAATGAGCGGTGATGTCACCGCTGGGTGAGGACTGGGCTGGGAGGCGGTGGGGGTGCCAAGTGCCCCACCCCGTCCCCAGCGGGCCAGTCAAGAGGCAGGTGTCGCCCGGGAATTCCCCCCGGAGACGGAGCCGCGTTTGTTTCTAGGGATCTAAACTCCAGTGCACGCTCAGCCAACCACGCGGCACCCTTGCGTGGCTGCAGGAGACTCGCCAAGAGGGGCCAGTGGGCCGAGCTGCCAGAGCCCCGTGGTGAGCCACTTGGCTGCTGTGCCCTGGGCCCAGGCAGCCCCATGAACCCCGCACAGCAGCTGGTGGAATTTTCAGGACCAGCCAGGGACCTGCAGACATGCCGGAGGGCAGCAAGAGAGGGAGGTGGCCCTGGTGGGAAGCAGGAGGGAGCAGACCTGGGGACGGCCCTGAAACCTCACCCCGAAGAATTCCCGGGCAGTTGCCTGGGCCGGCTGGGACTTGTTCTGCAAGCGGAGCTGGCATGCATTCTTGGAGCTGGAGCAGGGCACCCTGGGGTCGGCTGCAGCAGAGCCAGGGGCTGAGCCTTGCTCAGGCACACACTAAGGCCAGGCGTGCCCCCACACTGCTTGTTCCTCTCTGAAACTGGGGTGACATCTCCTGCCGTGGGCCAAGCCCCCCCACAAGGCACTTCTCTTGTCTGCTGCAGGGCTCCTGGGGGAGGGGCGGAACGTTGTAGGTGCGCAGACCTACGTGGGCCCTGCAGGGGCGTACCTGGTGGGGGAGGGCCAGTGTGTGCCCTGTGGCCTCAGACTCAGCCCCTAAGACAGGAGCACCCAGTCATGCCCCACGTGGTCCCTGAGAGGCAGCTTAAATGCAGGTTCCCAGGCCTCTGGTCAGCTGCAGCCCGGGGCCTGCAGGGACCCCAGTGAGCCCGCGACGGGCGGCCCCACCCTGGGCACACCGAGAAGGACTATAGGTGGCCCCACACCCCGTTCTGCCCCCGCTACTCCTGGGTGTTCCGGGGTAGCCTCAGGATAGAGTCCACCCAAGCGTGAGGAAAGGTTCATGAATGGCGTGAGGGGTACAGACCAGGGAGTGAGGGCAGCACATGAGCTCCTGGGACCCCCGTGGCCCATGCCCCGGCTTCCTCAGACAGTGGGGAGGCGGGCCAGGGTGCAGGGCTCCTCCCCAACAAGAGATAGCGAACCCCAGGTCGGACCCGGGCTCTGAACATGGCCGTGACACTCATGAATAAGGTACACGTGGCTTGCAGTACAGATGCACCTGGTCCCTCGGTTGGCTGAGTGTGTTTCCTCCAGGGATGGAGATGGGACAGAGGCCATGGCCTGGGCAGCCCCGCTGTGTGGGCATCGCTGTGTGCGAGTGCCTGTGGCAGGCAAGGGGACTCTGTGTTTCACAGCAGCTCTGGCAGTGCAAAGCCAGTGGAGTCGGGTTTACCGGCAACAGTTGAGTCTCAGGACCTCGCCTGCGTGACCACCCCGCCTCCCACCCAGCATGACGGCCACTTGTCTGTCATGACATCCTCCTGCAAGGTCTGATGCGACTGGGGGTTAAAAGCTTACTCAGGGACTTGGAAAACAGGATTACAATAGGAGTCATGCTTTCCTGAGAGAGTGTGGGCAGACCGCAGCCTGCACTGCTGAGCCAGCTCTCTGCATGCAAAGGGTTGAGGCTACAGGTCTGGAAAGCAGGTGAAGCTGTGGAAGGACAGGAAGTGTGGTGGCCCATTTCACAGACGGCAACGCTGAGGGCAGAGTGAGGTTGTGGGCTCCCAGGGGATCTCAGATGCTTTTGTCCTGGACAAAGCTGGAGAGAGATCTTCCATCTGCTGGTCCCTCCCAGATGGCCACACTATCCTGAGCTGGCACTCCATCTGGGTCTCCCAGGAGGGTGCAGGGCCCCAGTCCTGGGACCATCCTCCTATCTTCCCGAGTGCATTAGCACAGAGCTGGACTGCAAGAGGAGCAGCCGGGATTCAAGCAGGTGATCCAGTGGAGGATGCTGGCTTCGCAGGCAGCAGCTCAGCCCACCACTCCACGCCTGTCTCCCAGGAACATTCACTCCTGCCCAGAAGGCAGAAAGGGCCTTCCGTGGGAGGCTCCCATGAAGGCAGGGCCCATGGCTGAGCACAAGCAGAGAGAGACGTACTCTGCGGTGCTCAGAGAACAGAGGAAAGGGGGAGGTGGCACCCTTGGGCGAGATGTGGCTCTGCATTGGCTTGCTCCTCGCGTCACCCGCGGCTGCCTTCCTTTGGTCACCTGTAGAGGTGTCAGGCTGGGAATCGCTGCTGTCTGCAGATGTCTGTATGGGAAGGGAGGGACACGGGCTGTGCTGCATGTCCCTGGAGGGCAGCGCCGGCTCTGCGAGAGGTAGAACCACTTGCTAGGGATGCGTGTCCTGTGGGCGCCGTTGTGTGGGGCATGGCCCCTTGCGTGCGGCTCAGCTCTGCTTCTTGTTCCTTCCCCCAGTCCCGGCTGCGGAGGCAGGACACGGGCCTGAAGACACACCTGGAGCAGCTGGGCCAGCAGATCAGCGAACTGCAGCTAGACATGTGCAGGTCGTCCAGCGAGGCTGTGGACAGTGACAGCAGGCCCAGCTCAGGTACGCTCCACGTCCCTCGTCAGCAGGTGGCCAGGGCAGAATTTGAAAAGTGACTGATGAGTGTCAGCTGCTCACAGGCACACTGTTCTCCAAGGTCCTGCACTGGCAGTCTGGTATTCCTCTGCTGTCCAGCTGTGCACCGACCTGCCCAGCTGTGCACCCACCTGCCCTGTGCTCTGTCCAGCATGGCCCTCCCTGCCCCTCTCCCATGCAGCGAGGCGCTCACCCACCCTGTCCTGCTTTCTCCAGGTTTCTATGAACTAAGCGACGGTGGATCTTGCTCCCTGTCCACCTCCTGTGCCTCCGTGTGCAGCGACCATATGCCCCCTTCCCTGGGCAGTCTGTTGCCTGCTATCCAGATCTCCAAGGACAGGCCAGCCGTGGGGGACTGGCGGCCCCGGTCAGCAGATGAGACCACCGTACCAGTGTGGAGACCCCAGCCCACAGAGGTTAGCGGGCTGCCAGGCAGCATAGAGGATGCTGTCCGGCTGCCCCGGGGCACGTTCCGTCCTCGACCAGTGTCCACGGGTAAGAAACTCCCAGGAGATGAGAGGTGATGTGCTCAGGGAAAGTCCAGGCACTCCCAACCACTGGCATCTGTTCTTACAGTGACTCGGAATGTGGGTCAACAATTTCCACAGTCCCTCTGGGACCCCGGCTCTGCCCGGGTGGCATGCTCGGCCCCTCCCCTCCTGACGCCTGCCTGTCCTTCTGGTCCCTAGGTGATCTGGACCGTGTCCTGCAGGACTCCAACAAGGGCCGCTGCCACGGTGCAGAACTCCTGTGCCAGGTGCTGGACCCCAAGTACCAGCGGGACCTGGTGTCCAGGGGCGGCCGAGAGGTCTACCCCTACCCCAGTCCCCTGCATGCTGTGGCCCTGCAGAGTCCCCTGTTCGCCCTGACCAAGGAGACCCTACCCCTGGCCCACCCCATGCCCCCTGCCCAGCCTGTTCCCTGCACCCCCAAAACTGGGCAGGCCCCCGAGGTGGGCCCAGCGGGTGCCTACATCCACAGGCTGCTCCATCTACATGGCCAGAGGGCATCCCCCGGGGCCAGTGCCCACAGCCAGGAGCCACCCAGGCTGGACGCATGCCCACCCCCTCAGAAGCTGGGCCAGGAGCACAGGCCAAGCAGCATGGCAGGGACCCCCCACAGGGACGGCCCCGGGCAGCAGGGACTTGGGCCTCATGGGGACGCCCAACACCCCTGCCATCTCCCAAAGAATGACCCTGGACCCAAGTATGGCTGTGTGCCAGGGGAGATGACTGGAGGCCCCCTTCCCTGCTCCCACACCCCGCAGCCTCCCCGGGCTCTGGATAGCCACCAAGGCCCATCCCCGGCCAGGCAGCTCCAAGAACCCCGGCCTGTGGCCTCCGGGCACTTAATCCCCAAGCTGGGGGTGGAAGGCAGAGGCTCCCTGCAGGCCCTGACCACCAGCCACCCCAAGCCCAAGGCTGTGAAGAGCAGGAGGAGGGCCTGCGACAAGGGGCCTAGCTCCAGGAAGCTGCCATTGCCCCCAGAGAGACTTTGCCGTGTCCCCGGGGCCTGCCAGCCAGCCCCGGCATGGGACCCCTCCAGGGGGCTTCTGGAGACAGGGCTCAGGAGGACGCCCGCCCTGGCTGCGGAGGCACGGGGCAGGTCCTGCTCTGAGTCCACCCTCTACCCTGTGTCCTTCCTCGTGCCCATGGTGGTAGCCCCGCGAGACAGTTACCCAGCGCCAGCCCAGGGGCTGTACCCCTTGGAGTCGCGAAAGAAGCCGCGCAGGTGGAGGTCCACGGCAGAGATCTCGGGCCGGAGAGCAGCGGGCGTCCAGCTGAGGCTGGCGCCTGGAAGAGCGCAGGGTGTGTCCCAGCCGCCGGAGCACCCGGCCCAGTGCGCCACACTTCCCAGCTCCACAGTCGCCGACAGCAGCGAAGACGATGCCAGCGCCCACTCCGCCAGCTGCTTCGGGGACGCCGAGTCCAGCGGCAGCGATACCACCGAGGGCAGTGCACGCAGGGGCACCGGCCTGGACAGCACGCGGCCCGGACAAGGGATGCGGAGGCCCGGGGACGCCAGGCCATCCCTACCTCCTGTGCCCCATCTGTGCCGCGTCCGGGCGTCCCGCGCGCTGAAAAAGAAGATCCGTAGGTTCCAGCCCGCAGCGCTGAAGGTCATGACCATGGTGTGAGACCTGGGGATTCAGGACCAGCCCACTGCACGTGTGCCCGCCACGGCGTCTCCCACGCCATGCTCCCAGTCTGTCCAGTGCCAGCCGCGATGTTGCCACTGTCTCCCCCGGTGTCAGGATGCGATCTGAGCCTGGCCCTGCGTTCGTCTTCCTTCCGGCCTCCATCCTGGAGCATCCCTGTGGGTGTCCGGTGCACGGAGGGTGCTGCATCCCACCCTGCCCATCGGGAGGAGGGAACACTGTCTGACTGCAATGTCCACACATGGAGCTTAAAAGTGTTGGCAGAAAACCAAGTAACCTTAGTATGGGTGTTTGTTTTTCCAACCGTTTCTTCAGCCTGGGATTTTGGCCACACGTGTGGCATCTGCGAGTCCCAGAGCCACGCCTGAGGGGGCAGCTCTAACGGGCTGCTGGGCCAGGGGCTGGCACCAAGGGGCCTGGGGCTTGCGGGGACACAGGGTCACAGCTCCAGGGGGTGGTCACAGTTTCCTGGGGAGGAAGGGTGAGAAGCCACCTGCGCCAGCTGGGAGACCTGGGAGACCTTAGACCCTGAGGTCCTCGTCCCCAGGAGGCTAGCTTCCGGGGTGAGCCTGCTGAAAGCCACAGGTTCAAACCCACGAACACTGGAGAATGGGGGCGCACCCCACCCCCAGAGGTGCTGGCTGCGTGCTGGAGATGCCCAACCCGATTGGCGCTGGCCGCAGGACACGTGTGACCTTCAGTGGGTGTGCTTCCTCCGCGTGGTGCCCAGGATCATTGGATTCCGACTATGCCTGGCCAGCCAGCGTGTGAGGCTGCAGACACAGGCACTGCCAGGGACGTGGCCGTGGCTTGACTGCCCGAATGCAACCCCTGCTCCCTGCCTGGCACCTGCTGCTCGGAGATGCCCCCACAATTTCGGGGGACCCCTTGCATCCCTGTAGGGAAGCTGAGGGGCCCTGCTCTGCCTGGTGCCAAGGGGCCGCCTAGTTTGATAACACCAGGAAGCAAAACCTTACAGTGGCAGGAAGAGGGTTCAACAGTTTGCCCCAGGGAGGCCTGGCCCCTCCCCATGGCAGCCCCAGGCAGAATGGCCTCTGCATCTACAGCAAAACAGGCCTGGACCCCTGCACTGGACCCCTGCACTGGACCATGCCCCGGGCCAACCCGACCACACTGCCTGGGAGCTCTCCGCTCCCTCCCTCTGCAGAGGCCCCACCTCACCCCTGCCCTGATGCACATCCACCTCAGTAAACTTCATGGCAGATCCACCCATCCTGCCCATCTTTCCTCCTTCCATCCATCCATCATACCGGCACCTGCCTGCCCCTACAGTATTCTCATCTCTCTCTCTCTCTCTCTTTCTCTCTCTCTCTCCCCCCCACCCCCAACCCGCCAGGGCCCATGGCCAGGGCAGCAGGCTAGCTTTGGGGTCCTCTGGGTTGAGGGAGGTAGCCATTGCATGACCTCACTGGCCAGCTGCTCCCTGGCTGGTGAAGTGAGTGAATAGGCGGGGGTCAGCATGGAGCCAGTCTCGCAGCTTCAGCCAACCTTGGATTCTGCAAACTCCACACACTCCACCCCTGCACACTGGACCCTACAGGCTAGACACACTCCACACCTGCACGCTGGGCCCTGCAGTCTTCACACACTCCACCCCTGCACGCTGGGCCCTGCAGCCTTCACACACTCCACCACTGCACGCTGGGCCCTACAGTCTTCACACACTCCACCCCTGCATGCTGGGCCCTGCAGCCTTCACACACTCCACCCCTGCACACTGGGCCCTACAGTCTTCACACACTCCACCCCTGCACGCTGGGCCCTGCAGCCTTCACACACTCCACCCCTGCACGCTGGGCCCTGCAGCCTTCACACACTCCACCCCTGCATACTGGGCCCTACAGTCTTCACACACTCCACCCTGCATGCTGGGCCATTCAACCTTCACACACTCCACCCCTGCATGCTGGGCCATTCAACCTTCACACACTCCACCCCTGCACACTGGGCCCTACAGTCTTCACACACTCCACCCCTGCACGCTGGGCCCTCAGCCTTCACACACTCCACCCCTGCACACTGGGCCCTGTAGCCTTCACACACTCCACCCCTGCACGCTGGGCCCTGTAGCCTTCACACACTCCACCCCTGCACACTGGGCCATTCAATCTTCACACACTCCACCCCTGCACGCTGGGCCCTGCAGCCTTCACACACTCCACCCCTGCGCGCTGGGCCCTGCAGCCTTCACACACTCCACCCCTGCACGCTGGGCCCTCAGCCTTCACACACTCCACCCCTGCACGCTGGGCCCTCAGCCTTCACACACTCCACCATGGCACATTGCAGATCCACATTACAAAGCCACTGTGCTGCTGTGAGCCTACACTTCCTGTCATGGGGGTTTTGGCCCCCACGCAAGCAGGGCTTCCCTGGGGGCTGGTACGGTAGCCTATTGGCTAAGTCCTCGCATGCCAGAATCCCATATGAGTACCACTTCATGTCTTAGCGGCCCACTTCCCATCCAGCTCCCTCTTGTTGCCTGGGAAAGCAGTCAAGGACGGCCCAAGGATGGGACCCTGCACCTGTGTGGGAGATCCAGAAGAAGCTCCTGGCTGCTGGCTTCAGATCATCTCAGCTCCATTGTGGTCACTTGGGGAGTGAATCACCAAACAAAAGATCTTCCTCTCTCTCTTCCTCTCTGTATATCTGATTTTACAATAAAAATAAAATACATCTTTTAATTTAATTATTACTTCATTTTGATAAATAAAAATATAGTTGATTAGGGCTAAAGGGTCAAGGGCTACAGCAAAGTGGTAAGACCGTTGTTTCCACATTCTCTCTCTCTCTCTTTTTTTTCCCTGTGTCTGGGGTAAGGGGCTGATAAAGAAAGAAGCCCCAGCCAGCCTCCCACCCATCCCAGGGTACCTGACAAGGGGCATGCTCTGAGAGTCCTGCTCAAGTGGTTTTGATAATTCAACAGTTCTGAATTGCTGCCAGTCTTGCCATTCCAAGCACGATGAGATCTCCAGAATCCACTGATTGACATAGTCCACCTTAGAGTCTCTGTTTGTCCAGATTCTCACTGCCAACACATGGCTGGGGTAGATGATCGAATTGTTCTGTCCTCCATCCTCTGTTGTAGTACCAGGTGTCCTCTGCAGGTTCTGATGGACTGCCATATCCTCCATGTGCACCTGGATATGCTGTCCACTGCTCCGTCTGAGCCCCTGAAGAGGCTCAGCTTTGACACTTGCACTCCATGGTCAGAACATGAAACCTGTCCTTTTCTACGTGGTTGGGGTTCTAGGACCAGCAGTTCAGAGGGAGGGATCCCCAAAGAACTTCGCCTGAGGTGATTCCAGACCTGATTCTTGTGTGTGCTTGCCAGTACAGGGTCCGGTACCTCCCATCCCACCAATCAGCTTATGCACATGCTGGTCCTTGCAATTGCTGGGTCAGTTCTGTTTCCAACCCTGTCTTCTACAAGAACCAATGGGTGTTACAGTCCAGCCTGATTCTGCCCAGCACACACTTGGCCCTCACGCAAACCAGTGGGAGCTGTAGCCTACTTGGGGCGACTCCCCATAACTCCCAACAGGCCTGCCCCTACCCTGGTTCCGTGCTTGCCAGTATGTACCACAGACTGGTCCAGTCTGTCCCACATCCCATCAGCTCTCATACATGTCAATGGGCATTGAAGCCTAGTTCAACCCAACCAGCCCTACCATCCAGCCCACACACATGCTGGTGGGTGCCGTTCTGTCTAGCCACCCCTGCCCCTGTCCTGGTTTTCATGCTCTCCAGAGGGCGTGGTAGCCCGAGAGGGAGGTGCCCACTATCTCCCTACTCGGCCACTCCCACTCCCGGACCATGCACTCTCCAGGTGGTTCTGGAGTTTAACTTGGCAATATCAGCCCCCAGTGCCAGCCTCTGCCAGTTAATGCTGCGGCAAAGACCAACCAACTCTCACCCACTCTAATTTATGCTTTCATCAGCAGGGACAATCAACCAAACCTGGCTTTTCCCTGATCTAGCTCACGTGAGGCACACAGGTGTTGTAGCCCTGCCTGGTCTGGTCTGCCCCCATCCCAACTCACGCTCTCCTGTGGGAGTGGTGGTCTAGCTGGGAGCCCTCCACATTCCCCCTGCCAGCTTTGCCCCCTCCCCCACATTCTCACATGTGCTGGTTGGGTGCTATAGTCCAGTCTGGCATGGCTCGCCTCACTGCGCTGTAGCCTGGCCCAGCCCAGCCCACGCCCAAATCCAGCTCTCACTGGTGGGGGTTACAGTCTAGCCCAGCCCAGCCGGCACTCAGTCCCAGCCGTAATGTGTACTGATATGTGTTGCAACCAATCCTGGCCAAACCCACACTGTTCTGGTGCTTGGATTCACCAGTGGGTGATGTGAACTGGTTCAGCCTGGTCTGCCCCCAACCTGTGCCAAATGTATGCCACTGAGTACCATTCCCTGGTCTGGGCTGCTCCTATTGCTGTTCTTGCGCTCACCTGCAGGGACTGTGTCCTACCAGAGGAGTTGCCCAAGCTCCCCCATCAGAACCTCTCCCAATGCCAGATCTCGCACACTGGTGGGTCCATGGTCCACCTCCTGTCCTGGCAGGAACAGTGGCCTTTCCTGACTGGTCTTCAACTCATTCCAGCTCTTTCTGTTGGATGTTTCAGCCCAGCCAAGCCTGGTCCATGCCCAGACACAGCTCACACATGGCTCAGTAGGGGCAGAGACCTAGCCTAGTCCATCCTACACCCACCCTGGTCCTCCAGAGCACCAGTTGGTGCTGGAGTCCAGCCCAGTTCAGTGCACCTAGCCCCAGTCCATACTTGTGCCAAGGGACTCTGCAGCCTTATCCGGACCAGAACGCAGCTCCCACTCTGGCCTGCACACTTACCAATGGGAACCACACCCCAGTCAGGGTGTCCCCTTAGCTCCCCAAGTAGGCCAATGAAAAAAATCTTGAAGAATTAGAAGAAGAAGAAAAAGAAGAACTCCTCTGAACTCCCTAGGGTAGGAAACCCTCACACCTTGGTGAAACCCACAGACCCAGGTCCCCACGCATGCTGCACCCACAGACCCGGGGTCCCCACACATGCTGCACCCCACAGGCCCAGGGTTCCCACACATGCTGCAACCACAGACCCAGGTCCCCACACATGATCCACCCACAGACCCAGGGTCCCCACACATGTTGCATCCACAGACCCGGGGTCCCCACACGTGCTGCTCTCCGTAGACGCACAAGCACATGTGTATCTTGTCACAGCGCAGAGCTCTGCTCCCTGTCATGCGCCCTCCTGACTCCTCCTGCAGGGCAGCTGGAATTCCCTGGCCCAGATGGTCTCCCCGTGACTGGGGCAGCTCCAGCAGGTCTGCAACCTCGTGGAGAGCGTCTCCCTCTTGCAGACTACTCCATTGAGCATCGTCATTCTCAGCATAACCAGCCATTCAGTTTTCCAAATCGCCTTCGGAGGTGCCAGGACCAAGTCGGCAGCGACAGTCAGTGTCTGAATTGCCTGAGCAGAATTCATGCACACTCCTCCAGGACAGGCAAAGAAGGTTAAAACACACATGTTCTCATTCCATGCAAGTCCTGCGCTCGCTCTGCCCAGCCCCGTGTGGGCACACATGCACTCGCCGCAGGCAGCGGGTGGAGGCTGCCACACTCAGGCCCCTGGCTCCAGGTCTAGACCCTGGTCCTGCCTGGGACCCACAGGCCCCTGGGGAGGGAGCAGTGCTGGCTCTCGGCCTCGGAGTCAAAGCACCCGAGTCCCTGATCAGCCCTCGCTGGAGCCCCAGGCTGCTGAGTGTGGCCTGACCCGGCCCTGGCTGTGTGAGCAATGGAGACAAGAAGCAGTGGGTGCAAGTCCGCTCTCCCTCCCTTGCAAATACCCTGAAAATCAAGTTTTAAATGTTTAAAACTGAGTCCTCTGCAAAGGTCCTCCTCACTGGATCCAAGGAATGGCTTATAGGACAGGGCGCTGGTCCCCGGGAAGCTGCCTGGGTCCTGCGGTCCCACCCTCGGGCCTGGGGCACTCTGACTCCTCTGGCCCTGGGTGTCTGAGTCCAGCTGCAGGCCAGGGACCCTCCCGTCACACCGAACATATCACCTGAGAAGCGTCCGTCTGCCCACAGTGCTCCTACAGGCCTGGAAGCTGCCCCTGGGGACATGGGCATGTCATTGTCACTTGACAAAACCGGCCTTTTTCTAAACTTTATTCTTTATAGAGAGGGGAAGGGGAGAGAGGGGATGAGAGAGAAAGATTTTCCATCTGCTGATTCACTCCCCAAGGTGGCTGCAACAGCCAAAGTTAGACTGGCCCAAAGCCAGGAACCAGGCACTTCCTCCAGCTGTCCCATGTGGGCACAGGGGCTCCGGCACCCCATTATGGAAAGTGGGTGCCACAGGTCACAGCTTTCCCTTAAGTCACAAGGCCAGCACCGGATGTGCTTTTTCAAAGAGATAAGGTAAACTTTATTGTTTTGTGCTGGGCAGAATCAAGCAACATGATACGCTACAAGGAAAGCAAAGTCTAGCGACTAAAGAGACGGGGACAGCGCCTCTGTGCACCTCTGAGCTGCTCTGTCTGTCCTGGGGTTTCACGCTGGGGGGCCAGGGGGGCAAGGTGGGCAGCTAACGCAGCTGCATGCTTTCCTGTTGGTTGTTTCTCGTGCCTGCCCAGTGGGGCCGTGGCAGAGGGAGGCCAGGCCTGCCAGGTGCAGCCCTGGCCTGGGCACCCCCACAGAGACAGGGGGCCCAAGTTAAACACTTGATTGAACAACATCAGCCTTGGTTAAACATTAACCCCCTGACCCCCTGCTTCAGCGGCACTGCCTCCCAGGACGGGATGGACAGAGTCCCAGCACGAAGCTAACACCAGGTCCACTCGGGGGAAGGGCACTGCGTTCCTCAGGCTGGCTTCAGAGGGCTGCGGTAGACACCTGTGACAGGCAGGGGACTCTGCAAGGTGGGATGACTGGACTGGAGTGAAGGGTCCTCGAAGCCCTGGGTGCTGAGGATGGCAGAGGACAGGCGTCTGAGCGTGGGAAGCAGGGTGCAGGACAGGAGCGTGGCTACAGGGTTGGACCGCAGGTACCCCACCCTACTCAGCTGCCCACAGCCTGTGCCCGCTGTGGCTGCGGGAGCCTCACTCATCCCAGCCCAGCCCAGCTGCGTCAGGCCTCGGCTGACCAGTGTGGTCATGAGAGAATCCACAGCACCCAGGACACGCAGCTCCAACACTGTGGTGCAACACCACAGGACCCAGGTTCAAGTCCCAGCTCTGGTGCTTGATCCAAGATTCAGCCCTGGAGAGGCGGCATGGCAGCCCGAGTGTGCGGTCATTGTCACTCACAGGGAGATGGCCCGGTCCTGAGGTCCTGTCACAGGGGGAGGGGGATAGAGCGCCCAGGTTCTTGGCCACGAGTGGGCCTCGGCCAGGGCGTTGTGGGTTTCTAAGGAGTGAGTTATCACTTGGGAGTCCTCTGTCTCTTTCTCTCTCTCTCTCTCTCTCTCTCTCTCTCTCTCTCTCTCTCTCCCTCTCCATCAAGAGTCAACAGAAGATGAGGGTGAGGGAACAGTGCAGCAGGCTGAGGCTCCCCGGCCAGCCTGCCAGCCACAGGTTCTCCAGGGTCTTGTCCCCCACTGGGCTCCAGCGATCTGCTGAGAGCAGAGCGGTGGCCTTAATGGGACCCCGGCAACCCCCACGAGGAGACAAAGCTCTTCCTGAAACAGTCCCCACAGCCTGTTCCACACCTGAGCAACCAGGAGCCTGTGGGAGCTGGGGGCAGAGAGGAGCTCGTGCTGAGCAGGTGCAGTCCTCTGCACGGGTGGCCCTCTGGAGTGGCGGTGCTGCCACAGCACAGGAGGGCATTAAGAGAGCTAAAGGAGGACATGCGAGTGCTGCAGCCACCTCACAGCTCCCTCGGCCAGCTGCACACACACGCAGGGTCCACCTCACCCTTGACCTCCTCCCCGTCATCCCCCTTGACTGTGCACATTCCCACCGTTCTGCCGCGGCGCCAGCCCGAGCTCCAACCGGCGTGCAGCCGGCCGTGCAGGCTCCCCTGGGGCTGCTGTGGCACGCTGTCTGCCCAGCTTTGTGCAGGGCAGGGGAGAGTTCGCACATTGCCTTCCTGTGTGAGAGAGAGCGTGAGACAAAGGCCAAAGAGAGGAAACTGGAGCCCTGGGTCTGGTCCAGGCCTGGGTGCCAACCACAGGTACTGCCCGGCCCGCTGCCCAGCACCCAGAGAGAAAGCAGAGCCGGGGGCAGACTGCAAGTTAGAGCTCTGTAGTTGGGTCTCTTATCAACTCGTGGCCACAGGGGGATGAATGAGCTGATTTCTGCAGCTTTGAACTGAGACGGCCGGGAAACCCTTGCTGCCCGAGATAACCAGCGGCCAGCTCTCCAGCGTCCAGAGGGCTTTCCAAGCATGAGAACGGGACCTTTGCCAGGCAGCTCACTGCAGCTCGCGCCCCAACATGGACCATAGCCTGGGCAGTGGGATCAGTAACCAGAGGCAGAGCTAGCCATAGGGAACCCAGCCAAGCACATTACTAAAGTCTGGAAAACAGGGGGGTCTTGAAGTAGAATGAGAGCCCATCCGAAGAGGCAACGTGTGCACAGCTTGACTCAAACAACCTCACAGCTGCCAGACAGAGACCCAGACGGCTCTCACATGTTGTCCCAGAGCGTGAAGAGTCAGAGGCGTGCAGGACTTGCTACCCAACACAGACTGAGAGAAGGCTAGGGCAGTGTGCACAGGGTGCTCACACCTGTCCTCTCACACACACACACACAGGAGTGCAGTGTGCACAGGGTGCTCACACCTGTCCTCTCTCACACACACACACACGCAGGAGTGCAGTGTGCACAGGGTGCTCACACCTGTCCTCTCTCTCACACACACACGCACACAGGAGTACAGTGTGCACAGGGTGCTCACACCTTTCCTCTCTCTCACACACACACACAGGAGTGCAGTGTGCACAGGGTGCTCACACCTTTCCTCTCTCTCACACACACACACAGGAGTGCAGTGTGCACAGGGTGCTCACACCTGTCCTCTCTCTCTCACACACACAGGAGTGCAGTGTGCTTCCCAAGTCCCACCTATGTTACTTTGTGTCACTGGGTCTTGACTTCCTTCTGTGCTATGCATGGTGATGGAATTCGCTTGTTGTCCCCTGCTCTCCTGAATGTCTGCCATTGCTTCCCTCTTGGTCCTGTTTTCCCCCAATGCTTTTGGCTCCCAAGCCTGGCAGGAGCTAATCCAACCAGAGCAGCACCTGGAATGAATGTGAACTCTTTAAGAGGCTGCATCTTTGTTAATTTTTTCTGCCTCTTGTGCACCTGAGATATGAATTCCACACGGAGGCCTCCGACAGGCCCTGGTGTGCTGCACCTGAGTCTAACCAGGAACGGTCATGCGCCCCTGGGGTCAGGACCTTCTCACTTGTGGACGGTAGATGATGGAATGAGGCAGCACACCTGCATCTCCTGCCCACCATGCACACATCCCCATGTGCACAGCACAGGGACACACCTTGTCTGGTCACACTTGCTTCCAGAACCTTCCTGGCTGCCCCACCAGTCCACTATGACCCCGCCTGTTTCAGTCAGCTTGCACAGGAGAACTTGGGAATACGGATCAGGCATTGGTGCTTGCCAGTGGAAACTGCCGATTCACAGCTCAGCTAGCTGGGCTTTGGAAACGAGGCCAAGAGTTGGTGTTCTTTTCCATTTGTTGACATGAGACACAGAGGAGTTCCCTTCTGCTGGGTCCTTTCCTGACTCCTGCAACAGGGGGGCTGGACCAGCTGGGAGTTCACGCTCAATCCCGACCTCTCTGAAACCAGCGGGGACCCCAGGCCTCCCTGAGACCAGCAGGGACCCCAGGCCACCCTGAGACCAGCGGGGACCCCAGGCAGCCCTCCCTGAGACCAGCGGGGACCCCCAGGCCTCCCTGAGACCAGCGGGGACCCCCAGGCAGCCCTGAGACCAGCGGGGACCCCCAGGCCTCCCTGAGACCAGCGGGGACCCCCAGGCCTCCCTGAGACCAGCGGGGACCCCCAGGCCTCCCCGAGACCAGCAGGGACCCCCAGGCCACCCTGAGACCAGCGGGGACCCCCAGGCCTCCCTGAGACCAGCGGGGACCCCAGGCCTCCCTGAGACCAGCGGGGACCCCAGGCCTCCCTGAGACCAGCGGGTACCCCAGGCCTCTCTGAGACCAGCGGGGACCCCCAGGCAGCCCTGAGACCAGCGGGGACCCCCAGGCCTCCCTGAGACCAGCGGGTACCCCAGGCAGCCCTGAGACCAGCGGGGACCCCAGGCCTCCCTGAGACCAGCGGGGACCCCAGGCCTCCCTGAGACCAGCGGGGACCCCAGGCCTCCCTGAGACCAGCGGGTACCCCAGGCCTCCCTGAGACCAGCGGGGACCCCCAGGCCTCCCTGAGACCAGCGGGGACCCCCAGGCCTCCCTGAGACCAGCGGGGACCCCCAGGCAGCCCTGAGACCAGCGGGGACCCCCAGGCAGCCCTGAGACCAGCGGGTACTGCTGTGGCACTCCCAGTACCCTCCACCCCAAAGCCTCCTGCAGTGGCCGGAAGTCGGGGCTGGGGCAGGTGTGCAGTCAGTTCTTGCTGCGACCCCAGTCCCCCTGGCCAGATGCACGCCCACACCAAGCATCTTGGCTCTGAGAGGGGAAGGACTGCGCCTCAGTCACCGGGACCAGCTGGCCCTGCAGCCCGGGCAAACCCACACCCGTGCCTTCGGGCCACACACACTGCCAAAGTTGGGGCTGAGACCAGTTCCCCCCAAATCCCCTGTGAGAACCTTCCTTGGGCATGATGCTGCCTAGAGTGTCGGCTGGTGGCACCAAGAAGGCCAAGTCACTTTCATGAGGCTTCCCATCATGGAGTGGGGTCACCCTGGGGGCTGTGGAGAGCTGTGCCGGGTGACCCTGTGGTCGGCTGCCAGCTGCCCTGTCTTGCCTGTGTGTGCTTCTCAGAGCAGGGATACAGGGAGAACGTCAGAGACACCAACCCAGCAGGCCCCCTCCTGGCCGGAATTCCCTCGCCCGGATTCAGCACCCACTCAGGAGGGCTCGGCCCATTGGTGCTGGCCGCACTCCGTCCTGTGGGTACCAGGAGCGCTACTGCAGTAGATACGCCTGTGGGGTGAGGGTCTACATGGTGGCAGAGTGGCATGAGCAGCCGAGTCATGGCTGTCCCACTTCCAATCCGGCTCCAATTACTGCACCTGGGATGGCAGCAGGGGCTGGCCGAGTGCCGGGCCTCTGTGCTCACAGGGGACACTCAGGTGGGACTCCTGCCCCACAGAACCCCAGCCATTCTGGCCATCTGAGGAGTGACTTTGCGGATGGAGGATCTCTTTATATGCATAACTCTTACTTACAAATCATAAACGCATTTGTGAAGGAAGCTTGGGAAGGGACCCTCAGGCCCTCAGTCTCGGTCTGGAAGGCGCTCAGCAGCTGGCCTCTGCCAGGCCACGGTTCCTGGCTGCAGTGTCCACCTCTTCAAGCAGCTGCCGGCTGCTCTCAGTCCAGGCGAGTCTAGCCAGGCCAAGAGACACCTGCTGAGCAAACAGACCTCTCTGGCAACCCCTTCCCCCAGCAGAGAGGGAGGGAGAGCGCCCTGGGGAGGGGTCAGCAGAGGTCAAGGGGAAAAGCTTGCAAGTGTTTGCTTTAGACAAATACCTTCCAGTTGGGCTCCTGTAGGGGTGTGGGCCTCTGCCTGCAGGTCGGAGGCCTTGCAGGGGGCGCGAGGGGTGGCAGTGGGAGTGGGGGCAGGGGCAGGATGGCAGATGGCTGGGCTGGAGGTGGGATAGCCAGGGACGGGGAGGGGAGTGGACCAGATAGCTGGCGTTGAGGTGGGGTAACAGGAGAGCCAGGGACGGGGTCGGCCACCGGGGATGGGGGGCCGCAGCCAGCCCAGATCCCGAGAGGTCAGCTGCAAGGCAGCAGTTGTGGAATGCTCTACAGCATGGAGGAGAAGCCTGGCTTCCCGTGCAGCCCAGGTCAGCGCCTCAGCTGACCTCCGAACTCCCTCCCACACCTGGGTCACCTCCAGGAAGGCGGTCAGGGTGACCCCACGCTGCAGCCCGCCCGCCGCATCCCCATACCATGCCAGTGGTCTGCAGGTTCACCTCCCACCCCTCCCTGCAGAAGACAGCACCCTAGGCTTACAGCCAGGACAGGACAAGGTGGGTGCTCACTGAAGGACGCTGGCGAGGCACGCTCACCTGTCCACATCGGGGGCTCCCCAGCGCCCTAACCATGCCAGCGGGTGCCAGAGGCACCTCCCAAACATGTGTGCTCATGGAGCTGCTCACTCGTGTGATGTGCTGTGTGTGACATCAGAGCCTCGTGGCAGAGTGCAGGTGTGAGTCCCGGCTGCTCCACTTCCTGCTGGTATGTCTGGGAAGGAAGCAGAAAGTCCCTGCAAGGAAGAGACCCAGGTGGAGCTCCTGGCCCCCGCCTGGCCTGCCCGGCCTGCCCATTGCAGACATTTGGGGAGTGAGCCAGTGGGTACAAGAAATGGCCCCATTTCTTGTACCTACTGCATACCAGGTTTGCACCAGGCACCCAGCTCTGGCAGCACAAGGGCCACTCCTGACACATCCCTGCCTCCAGCCCTCCCCTGCCCACCACCAGCTCTCCTCGGAGTGTGGACCTGCTTCCCAGGCAGGTTTCCCAGTGGAGGCCCCAGGGTCACAGGTCAGTCCAGCTGGAGGTGAGGTTGTGGAGCCTGGTGACAGGCACGGAGTCCCCCAGGAGCCTCCATCCAGCTGCCCATCGTTTTGCTTTGCACAGAACAGTCCAAAGCCCCCAGTGAGGATAGAGAAGAGAGCGCCCTGCTGCAGGCTACATCACAGGCACGCAGCTCAGGGCAACAGCGCCACGAGCTGAGGGGCGGGGTGGGGCAGGGGCATGTGGGCTCGGTGCGGGATCCCAGCTGCCATTCAGCTCCTTAGCCAGCTCTCCCTCAGGAGCAGGATACGTAGGCTGTCCTCAGGGGGTGATGGCATGGAACAAACCTAACCTTGCAGGGCTGGGGTCCCCGTCCAAACTCAAGGCCCCAGGAGCAGCAGATGTGGCCTAAGTCCTTGGGG